AAAAATCCGGCAGTTCGGCGTGCTTTCGAGACAATCGGGGCACAGTGCTCAGACAGATTGAGACTACTGGATTAGGATATGCCGAGACCCTAAATAACTCCTGGCACATGTAGATCCTGAGCGTCTACCCTAAGTTCAGGCTGATGATCGTCACCAACAACCAAAAAGAAACATTTGTGCTAAGAAAGGGAGAGGCACCATGTGCAGCACCACTGGGCAAAGGCCTGAAGATCCTTTGTTTATGAACTCGAGCACGATGTTGCAATCTACCGGTTTACATTAAGGTGACAAACACAACACAGCTTCTCAACTTTCACAGCAACCATCCAATGGCTCACGAACGAAGTGGCTTCGGAACACGGTTCAAACGAATCTAGACTCACTGCAGTAACCTCGAGGTAAAAGCACGGGAAGCCCGATACCTCCGCAACCAATTTATGCGTAGTGGCCATCCGAAGTCCTTCGTAAACCCATGCCGACATGTACGCCCTCCGAGGATCCCATCATATCCAACCCGTACGATATGGCATGTGCTGCCATATAGCAACTGTGCGCATTGCTGCCGGACTAGGCGTCGGAATTGCGCACCGTCCCGAGGCTACCATTTGCACCCGGATCATGAGGATAAAAGACCCATTAAGTCGCTGTGAGCAGTCGGGCGTAATGTATTGCATACCATGTCTAACTCGGCAGCCGCAAGGATAATTGCTCACGCCGAGATGAAGACCGCACGATAGTTTATTGAAGCCTGGGCCTCGAATGACGACTCAGTCCACCGGTGCACAGAGCTGGTGCCCACCCACATCGTTCTGTGCAGGTATATACGCCCCTCTTCTTCGTTCCCTTCCCCTATAACAGTTAATTGGTTCCCGTCCCCTGTAACCGTTGCTCGCTTTTCGGTGACGGTTTATCACTGACGATGGATTTCCACAAGAGCCGGAAAGCTTAGGAGAATAAAATTACGATTCCAGATATCGAAACGCATTCGCATTCTTCTACTTTGTCTATAAGTAATATATCCCTTAACATCTTCAACTGCCTGATCAAGTAGCGTCAACTCCGTTTGCCTTTTTTAAAGTTCCTCTGCACGTAGGTCACCACGTGGTCCAAATTCATTGTTACACTATGGGAGGTCTATATTACAAATGGTAAAATTTAAATGTATAAATATATGGTTTTCGATGCCTGCAACACGAACCTATGCTTAAATTTGACCGAAAATATAAAAGTTGTGTATGCAGCTTCTTTAATGTTGAAGAAATATTTTGGAAGTTAGGAGAGGATCGGGAAAACAGCTTTGGAATGTAAAAACATAAAGATTATTTGCTATTTCCTAAGTCTTTATTCGCTTTGAAGTGCACATACTTCTGGAAATCATTTTCCATTAACCTGATTGCGTATCAACTTTCTTACCAGTGTCCTGTTTGCAAGCCACCAGTAAGATGCAAATTTAACGCTGCTATCACTACCTCTCCGCTGATGAATCATAAATACTTCAACCTTCCCTTATTAAAAAAAAATTTTATTAATCAATCACGCAATTCCGAAATGCGTTTCAAGTTTGGTAAGGTTGATCGTCAAATGTGTACCATCATAAAACAGCTTCGAAATTGCCCTCGTCCCTGAGCATGCCGCGGACCCTGCCTGCAGTATTTCTAATTTCCCTCTTCGGCTTGCGAAAGTACCTGCTGCGGGTTAGGAGGCATTGTAATGCGTATGAACCCCACTGGGATGCATTAATAAGTAATGCAAGCCTCTCCGAGAAACCGGGCAATTACATACGTTATTGGCATAGACGTGGGATGTATGGCATAGTGTTGCTTACGTCCACCCTGTGTACTTGCCGTACTTATACAAACATAGGAAATGACACAGTGCCTACTTACTGCTATAATATTTTTTCCCAATGAGTCTAATTTACAGAACTGAAATGATGATTTCCCAAAGGACGGTATGTTACCGCCAAGAAATCGTCTTACTAATATGCACCCGCCTCGTCACATATAGGGGTTTTTTAAAGTTATGAAGTTTTCAACTTTCTCTAAAATGTGCATGGTAAATTACAGGTAATTATGGTCATAGTTACAGGCAAATTTAAAGCTGGTATCACTACCTGTCCGCTGATGAACTATAAATACTTAAACTCTCCCTTATTAAAAAAATATTTTATTAATCAATCACGCAGTTCCGAAATGCGTTTAAAGTTTGGTAAAGTTGATCGTCAAATGTGTACCATCATAAAACAGCTTCGAAATTGCCCTCGTCCCTGAGCATGCCGCGGACCCTGCCTGCAGTATTTCTAATTTCCCTCTTCGGCTTGCGAAAGTACCTGCTGCGGGTTAGGAGGCATTGTCATGCGTATGAACCCCACTGGGATGCATTAATAAGTAATGCAAGCCTCTCCGAGAAACCGGGCAATTACATACGTTATTGGCATAGACGTGGGATGTATGGCATAGTGTTGCTTACGTCCACCCTGTGTACTTGCCGTACTTATACAAACATAGGAAATGACACAGTGCCTACTTACTGCTATAATATTTTTTCCCAATGAGTCTAATTTACAGAACTGAAATGATGATTTCCCAAAGGACGGTATGTTACCGCCAAGGAATCGTCTTACTATTATGCCCCCGCCTCGTCAATTATTACAGGTAATTTTGATCTTGGTTACAGTCATGGGGATAATTAAGGGCTTGGGGTCGGTTGTAGGTGGCGGCATGTACATTTTATTCTTCCCATATTCCTATAATTGGCCCGACTAATATTTATGGAGTTTTTACTTATGCTTCTCTGAATTCTTTGATGGACATTTTCGCGACTTTTTTAATAAGAAGTTGAAATAATGTCAGCTTAAAACAAGCATAAATTGTGCGATTGGGTAATTCTTGTTTCTGTTTCCCCTCTACAGCAAACAGGCATAAGTGACATGGCTTTAGGCCAAATTCCAGGAGATTTATGGTCCAAGGTAAGGTAAGGATTCTAGTTGAGGTTTATTTGGGCGTTTTTTTTT